ATTCACTACAATCAATTCAATCAACATTTTAAAATTGAAAAGTTAAACCTAGATTTAAAACATGATTTATTTAAAGAAATTATTTTAACTAATTTCGGAAATGTTTTAAAAATTGTAAGTATTCTTTTTTTTGTGTTGAATTACTTTTGAAAAATTCTGCATTTTCTAACTATAAAAATATATTTTACTTACTTTATATTATTTTTCGCATTATCTCACTATGTTAATTTTTTTAGATTATATTAATATTAAGAACATTTTTTCATCGCTAATTTTTTAAACATTAACTTCGATACTTCAACTGATTGATGAGCTACTTATTCTTGAAATAATTACATAATTTTATAGCTTTTCTCATGAATTTTAATTTTTCTTTCAAATTTAACTTAAGATCATAGCAAAAAATATTTTAAAAATTTTAAAATTCTCTATAAAAATAATTTCAGTTCAATTTGAAAGTAAAGCGTGTTAGTGCAGCCCTTTTGGGGCTGAAATGTGGAACTCATATGTCGTTTAGTCTCATTATATTAATATAAAATATGCAAAGCCTGAAATCTTTAAACGACGATAGTTTTTTTCCAGCAATAATCGATTATCAGGAAACGCTGTCTACTTTATTTCTAAATTTCGAACAAAAAATTTGTTTTCTTTTTTTTGACAGGCCGTCTTTTTTATTATTTGTCTTGTCGCTATTCGTTTAATATTTCTTTTCTTTTCTTTTTTTTCACTTTTGTAATTTGTTATTATTAATCAAATTATTGATTTAATGGACAAATAACCCAGTTGTACATATTCGTTAAATCTACTGCAGATCTCAACAATATATTATGTATTTCTATGAACTTAGACAGACTAATATTGACTACTTTCGAAGTTAGATTTGAATTAGTTTATGTTTTCGTGTTGGTCATTTAACAATTCTATTACATCAACACATGATTCTTGATTAGATGATTATAATCGTTTATCTGTACAAAATCCGATATTTCTTTATTTAGAATATTGAATAACGTATTGTAGCCATCAAAATTTCAAAAAAGGTTTTATGTTGTGAAATCTTCTAAGCCTTGTTATTAATTTCGTTTAACGTCTTTAATTCTTGTTACTAAACTCTGTAATAGGGAGCTCTCATTGTTAAGTGTCTGTAACGGAGAGGAGGAGGAAAGAGAAGGGAGAGTCGCAAAAGCTTCGACTTAAAAACATATTTGAGTTCCACAAAACTGAAATTGATATGTAGATAAAATATAAAATTATTTTATTAAAAATATTCTCTTAATCTATCTAAATTAGAAATACGTTTCCCAAACAGATTTTACTCAAAAAGTCAGCATAAGTAGCTGTTTTAAATCACAATTTCAGTTCCACTATATTGGTTGTCATATATATTTTTTCTTTCGTCTATAGTTAAGAAACAGAACAATTATATAAATATATATATATATATTGAAGAATGGTTGCAAGTGGTGATACTTACGAAGATAAAGCAACATTGAAGTTAAAATTAGAACTTCAGAAACAATAATTACTTATTGAACAAAAAAAAAGAAAACGAATGAAAACAACACATGAACTATCTTCATTATTAATGAGTAATATTGTAAATATATTATCAGACCATAGTGATTTTTATAAGTTATTTGTACATAGCCATCTTCAGTCATTTGATGTTAACAATGTGTTAAATGAAAATAATGATTTAAATGAGAATATAATAGATCTTATTCGAGATTATTTCAATAATGTTTCATCGTTGTCGGAAATAAACGAACAGCAAATGCAATGGACGTTTGAAGGATTAATATTGAATTTATTAAATGCATTTAATGATTGTACATTATTGAAATATTTAGATACACATAGATCATCATGTATCAATGGAAAATTTTGTCCTGACTGTTGTTTTTTATATAAAAATGTTAATATCAATATTGAAAAAAGAACGTCAATGTTTACAAGATTTTATTGTTTGTCTTGATGCATATAAAAAATCTTACGTTTAGTTAACAGAATCATCAATTGGACAAATGTTACACTATTTACATTTACTATTAGATATACAAAATTGTAAAAAGATTTATAGTTTTTCAATTAATTGTAAACAAATAACATTTTTCTATGTTGAAAAAGAATCTAAATCGAATTTATATAATTATTATAAAAGTCAAGATTTAGATATGTTTAATAATTATTCTGAAACATCATTACCTGTTGATATGATAATAACAAAGGAAGAATGGAAAAATAAATACTTAAATGAAGTTATTTGGAAAATATTTACAATTTTTTTAACAATGAGTGACAACTTTTATGAATATGCAACATTAAATATCAATCCTCGTGATGATTTATTTGATTGTCGATATATGATAAGAAAAAAATTAGGAATTGGTTTAACATCAATGGTTTATTTATTAGAAAAAAAAGAAGATAACTATTTGATTGAAGATTCACCACACTATGTAATGAAAATATTAAAAGAAAATAATTATTCAGAATATTTTTTAACCGAAATTAAAATAACAGAAAAATTAAAACAATTTGATAATTCAAACAAATTTTATTTATTTTTTCAAGATATTCTATCTCCATTATTATCAGGTATTACATTTGTCTTTTGACTTTTTCTACAGATTCAAAGTACATCAACAAAAATTTAAAAAAAAACTTTTCACATAATGAATAAAAATACTTAGATAGAGAAGACTTTGTAAAATAGTGAAAATATTGAATTTTTCATTCT